GTTCCCTATTATATTTACAATATTTCTTTTTATCTGCATGTTTTCTACTGTGGTGTTAGTATGCATTTATCTTTCCAACCCCCCTTGAAAGGGTCTTTTTCATAATAGGTTTTACACTGGATAGAACTTACCATAATCTTTGCCCTTTATTATCTGTAAGATTCTTGCAGAAGATCTGTTCTTTCCATTTGAGTCAGAGCAAAGTATTGTTAAATTGATATTTGCATCTATTGGGTGGCGATCCACAGCACACCTGAGAAGCAAAATTAGGTTGGAAAAAATATGTCATATGAACTGACAAGTGAAAAGGTAGCCCCAGTTCTTTTACTAATAATTGCTTCTTGGCCTGATGGCCTAAGACCAATGTGTGGCCTTTTTTTTGGAGGACTATTGTCTCTTTGTGGTTCAGAGCTTTTTTTCTGAGGAGCCTTCTACACACTTGCCCAGATCACAGAGAGAATAGTTTATACATAAGAGATTTTGGTGACCCTCCTCCAAGACCTTCTGTATCTTTTGTAGCACATGCAGCCTATGTTTTATATTAATTGTTGATAATTGAATTTAAATTAATTCTGCTTAACAAAAAAATGAAGTTATTGGTACGTTAACCAGCTGTCATTCTGCCAACCTGCATACTTGATTCTTATTGCAAAGAAGGGTTTGACTTTTAGAAAGGGAGCAAAGAACCAACCCCTTTTTTTAAAAACAACTTGAGTTTCTTATTTTTTCAAACCATGGGCTGAAATGTTACAGTTACAGTACCACCCACCCAATTCATTGAACTGTGCTTTCTTCTTTATTTTGTTTAGATTGCACCAGATGGTTTAGTTTGTTTTCCACTTGTCTGTCTTTCTGTGCTGGGAAAAGTTTGTTTTTTAACCTTAGTCTCAACTATTATTTGCCAATTCTTCATTTTAAGTTTAATTGTCAAAGTTCTATTTTCTTTCACAAACTTAACAGGTTCTGTTATTTTAAAATACTTTTTTGTCACTTTGGAACAAGATGTAGTGACTTTTTGTGCCTTAATTTTGTGCCTTTTCCCCCCTATATGTTTGAAACTGAAAGCATAATTAATCAATTTGCCTAAGGCCACAGAAAAAGCTGGGTATAGAAGAAGCAGTAATACTATTTACAACTGTTGCTACAACAGTACCAAAAATGAACAATAAAAACTATAGATAATAAAATAATATTTGTATAATTTATATTTTTGGCTGAAAGCATTCAATAATATAATCCATTCTATCAGTTTACACAAAATTAAAAAAGAACATAGTATATGGTGATATAAAAAGGTAAAATGAACAGTGGACAATAGAAGAGTTCTACTTGATTTTGGCTTTTATTCTTTGTGCAAATAAAGCAAATACACCTTAGGAGTATAGGATGGGCTCTGAGTTGTTTAGAGAAAAGCCAGATATTTTTTCATTAGCACAGCATTTAAAATTTTCCTGTTAATGGAGAGATCTGTCTTCCTCTTATTTCTTCAAAGAACGAACAAGACCACAAATCGTAATTTAAGTAATCTCTCTCATTCCTCTCCAAAGAACGTATTCTGTCTGAATATGAAGGCCAGTACTGGCTACCTATGAATCTCAGTCTAGTATGACCTCTCATTGTTTGTAGTTTTGTACCCCGGACAGGTTTCCAGGCCAAAGGAGACCTTTGTTAATCTTAAAAAAGGGAAAGTTTGAGAAAGTCTCACTGGCATAATTCTTAAATTTATGTCTTGTTTTAAATTTAGGGGAAATATTGGGTCAGTGACTCTCATTACTTTTCTCAGGCCATTTGTCTGGGTGCAGAATATGGCACTTCCTGCATTTCATCTCCATGTTTAGCTTACTAGACCATGCTGCCATCAGTGAGTTATCTTCACAGATATTATAAACATTTTTTTCAAATCAAGGTAAAATGCTCCACTAAAGTTCCAGTATCTTAAATACAGGTAGATAGTAATGTGCTCGCTTGTGCTCTTGTGCACGGTCTCTCTCTCACTTTGAAGAAAAGTTACACTTTGGCCCAAATATATTTTCTATCATTCATACTGATGTATTATGACAGCAGCAGTACCAAGTACCTTAAACTGCCCTAGAAAAGTGCCTCAAACTTTATCACAAAGCAACTCATTTTTAAGTGCACAAGAAACTACTTCAGCTTCTATAACCTTTCAGTCCTTAGGATGTGAATTAGTCTCAGATTTGCTGGATTTTTTTCTTATTTGCTCATGTATTTGCTAGGCACAGAGGCTGCTATTTTATGTATGCTGTTTTCAACATAATTCGCAAAAACGTGAAATTATCCTGGCCTTCATTTGAACCAGTTACCTAAGGTCACAGATGACAACCTCCTTTATCCCAGGACTCATAAGGAAATGGATTACTGAGTTATGAAGAAACAATACATTTCACTGCCCACTAGTTATAAAACTAATGCCTCTATCTGAACTGATGAGGATGGCTATGGTACACAGGCCCAAACTCACAGAGATGCTTTTTAGGATCTTTAAGTCACCATTTGCTGCCTAACCCTAACATTCTGGGCTGATTTCTTCTGCCTTCTGTGTGAGTTCTGATTTCAATAGAAACAAGTATAAAACAGCTGAAAGCAGAATTTATCCTGGCACTAACCAAGTATGGTAAGCATCAATATGTAGAACAATGATGAATAAATGTAATTTACTTACCTGCCTGGATTGTGGAGTCCATGTGCAAAAATTTCAGGAGGCTGATTGGTGCTGTTAAAATGTGGATTGCTTTGTGGTATGGAATAAGGCACATTGCACAAATCAGTATTGACATCCAGACGTAATACGGAACCTGTAAAATCACTGAGAAAGTTGGAGGATAACACAATTGATTTTAAAAAGTATTTCAGCCAATACAGTTTATTTATGCAGTATTACAATGAACTAACAAATGGAATTACACACTTCAATGAACCGTGTGTAGATTTTTGAGCAATATGAGTCATAAGAGTTGTTACACTGGAACTGACCAAAGGTCCATTGTTCTTTATACGCGCTTCCTGGAATTCTTTTAACAAACCTTTATGAAACAATCTGTTGATATTGCAAATTTCTAACTCTTATATTTCAGGGTATAACTTTTTTAGAGTATTAGATCATTGTTATGTGTTATCCTGGTTTTTTTGGTCCTGCTACCCATTCAAATTAAAGCTGGATAGAAACCAGCTATAGAGTTGCTACACATTTTCAAGCACTAACTTTATACCTGGTTGGCTCTTTATATAGCTGGATAGTTATTGTTATTGTGTGGTAATTACTTTGCAGGTGTGGGTGGTCTAAATTTATTGCATGATTAACCAGTAATTGTGTGATAATTACTTTGCAGCCAGTTCCAAAGATCAATTATGCATTATGTAAAAACTCCCTTTTGCCCATTTATTGGATTTTTTAAAGAAGATGTTAAGGTTGGTCAGCAGTCAACCAGCATTATTTTGTTGCAGAAAATTGGAGGAGGAAAAAAAGATTTTCTCATAACATATGTTATGGCAGGAGGAACTGTGAGAGTGGAGCACTATGAAGAAAATAGGAATGAAGTTACTCAGTTGTATGTAAAAGAATGAAAACTCATTTGCACTTAGTGTTTATATTCACTCTTTTCTGCATTAGGCTCCATTATTTTTATAGGCGTTTAAAATAAAGCTTCTGAATTGTTCTTCAGCTCTGCCACTGATAACGTGCTTGCTGTAGAAGCACGAAGACACTTACTGTCCCACTGAGCTGCAGAAGCCTCAATGTATTGCCTCCTCTCTGCTTTGTCTAGATTCAATGCAACACTTATTCAAAATGACAACAAATTTGTACCAAGTGGAGCTTAGAACAATGCAACAAAGGCCCAAACAAGTGGCAAAGATATAAAGCCAAAGGTAGAAATGATATTGTTTCTTTAGCTATTTGGATAGGCTCCCATGTGGTTCAGGTCTATAATTTACAATGGTATATGGTTGTTGGAGAAACAAAGTTCATGACACATCTGTGTCTCTATTTTCTTCATGTTGGTCATACTGGAGAAAAATTGTTTAGTGGAATGAGTCCTTCCTGCATTTAAATCTAATCACAACTGCTGGTGACAACTTTAATTAAATGCTTTGGTAATACATGTGTGGGAAGAAACTTATTTCAAGTACAAGAATATACTGAAAATACAGTTCCGTGTAATAAGATTTAGCCCTAACTGAGATTTTCTGTAACCTCATAACTACGGTTTGCAGTTAGACACAGTTTGGATTCTGTTTCCACTCATAGGATCACCCAGGTGTGTGTGTACCCGCCAGAAGTAACGAAGAGGAAGATAGCAGCCCTCCCGTCTTTTAGCTGAAGAACTTCCTCACTAAGGGATTTGCCTAGACTGCTGGAAACCAGGTTCTAGCCCTGCTCCCCGCCCCCAAAAGAGATTTGTGTATAGCTCCTGCCTCCCAGCAAAATACTCTTAAGCACAGGGCAGCCAAGAGCAGGAGATATGTGAAGCCAAGAGAAAGATAAGAAAGCAGAGCCCATCTGGTTCGGGACATGGATGATATCCTGGTAGGAAGGGTCCTTTGGGTTTTGACCCTGGTTCCTAATAGGTTTTCTGCATCTTGCATTTAATATTGAACTGGGCAAGCAGCAGTGGTTCAGCCTCCACTAAGGGCAGGAGCCAGGGCAGGAACCTGAAACAAGGGCTCACTCCCTTCCAGAGTATCATCCTTCTTAGTAAGTCACCCTGTGTTCTGACAACTTGCTTTTTGTTCCTTCCTGGCCCCACATATCTGACCATCTCTGCTCCCCAGTAGGCCTGGTTCAGAAGGGCTGGAAAGTGCTTAGGCAATGCCTAAGCCTGCTTGTTAGACCATTTTGCTAAGGAGCCAGAGATGCAGGTTCAAACTTCTGTGGGTTTGCAGGGCTAAAGCAGTGATTTTCAGCCAGGATGTACTGGCCCATGGAGTGCCTTGAGATTCTTCCAAGGATGCCAAAGGGCACCACACAATGTTAACATGGTTAGGTATGCAAACATGGTTCACAAGACCCAGAAATTTCTAATAAGAATGCATAGTGTTAAAAACATTCTGCCTTGTAGTGGTCTTTGGTCTAGGAAGGCTTTCTTCTTCTGTCAAACACCTGCTGGTTTTGGTTTTTCTGCAACCACAGGAAAACTATATCGTTCTGGGACTTCCCTGACATTACCTGTATGCCCAGGTGATTCAATTTCATTAGAGAGCCTACACAACCATAGTGTGGTCTTCTGACTTCTGAGTATGCTCATAAGGAAAGAGCAGTGCAAATATAGCTACACAGAATCCAAGCTGTGCAAAATTGCCAAAAAATCCAGTTTTGTAGTAAGTATAAACAAAATCTTGCTTGTCTAACTCATGCACTAAAGTCAACAGAATTAAATAAAGTAAGGTGAGTCGAGTTTACCCTTATGAGTTTACTGGTGAGTGACTACAATGTTGGTTGACTCCAGTGACCTATCCTCATGATTATCTAAAGGCAGAAAACAATTTAAAAAAAGACTCGGCATTTTTAATCTATTGGTAATTTTTGTACCTTAAACCATCCATCTCTTCCATATCATCCAGAGTGATCATGCCATCACCCAGGAAAATGTATAAGAATCCATCTGGACCAAATAAAAGCTGTCCTCCTAGATGTTTTCGATGTAGCTCTGCTACTTCTAGAAACATTCTTGCTGTTCTCATATCAACTTGGTGTGGATTTTTCCTGCAGTATAAAGATATAAAAATAATTCTTGTATCTCTGCTACTATTATTTCCCACAGTTAATAAACTTAAATTAATGAATGACACTGTAAGGAACAGCCATTGTAACCCAGAAATTTATGTTTTCCAGAAGTCATGCAAATGATACTGCACAGGATATATATACACAGTAACTTGGAAACCACTCTAATACAAATGACAATGGCAGCATAGAAAATAAGAGAATAAGGCAATAGACTCACTGCTGTTTTAAAACTATTGCTTGAAATAAACCCAGTGGAATGTGAGAAAGTTCCTAAATATGCCAGATGATATACTAGTTGACAGTTCATTTAAAAAAGTAAGAAATCCCAAATAAAGAGAGATGATAAAACTGAGTTTGGGATGTTTAGACTTTTACTGATACCTGGATACTGTGTACTCTACAACCCGAAGGATGTGGTCATGAGGTCCAATGGCCCATCTCTCTTGGTTGGTGGTATAAGACACATACAACTTTCCATTTTTCTTGTAATTGGGATGGAATGCAAGGCTTAACAGTCCTCTTTCATCTCCTCCCTGCAGTCAAATGAAAAACACAAAGAATTGTGAAGTTAATTATGTTCTTTATTGTGTTTCAGTTGAAACCCACCAAAAGTCTCTCTTTCTTTCTTGTGGATAATCTTTGTCCAAATCTTTTTTTCTCTTCCCTGACTACTGCACAAAAAAAGGATTATAAAACATTTCACTTTGGGGGACCCTGTAAGAGTTGGAACAAGACAATTTTCTTATGTATGCACAGACTCTTATGCCACTTTTGTGGAGTGACTTTTGTATGTAATATTTAGGAAGCCATGAAGACAAGTTTAAGTGCTGTGAAGAATTCTTTGCTAGGTTACTAGGTTGCTTGTAGTTTGCAGAAAACAAATAAAAAGGTCTACAATCAGCAGTCACTTCTAATCCAAGTATCCAAAACCTAAAACACAGTGTATGCTGCCAACTCCCACTGTCTTGGCAATATGTTTAGAAAACAGTTAAATTGCTTGTGTAATATGTAAACCTTTGTTTTACCCTGGAGGCAGCTACATCAGTTGTCACAACTATGGTGGTCTGTTCATCATAGCTAGCATACTGTAGGTAATAAGCAGCGTTGGGTCTCTCTGCAGAAAAACCATAGTTTTACATGTGGCCCTTCAATGGAAAGGTTTTCATTGTTTTTTAAAAAAAATAAAAATAGAAGATCTCCAAACAACTTTCTTTTGTTATTATGATTGCCACAAAGATCAGTGCAGTTATATGTTAAGCATCAAGTCCATGTAATGTACTGTGACAATGCAAATACCAGTGTACTTAAATAGAAGGCAATTTACTCTTTTGGCTTCTAAAAATATACTGAGTATTACCAGGGTCTAAATTACATTTTGCTGTCTGAAAGGAGGCTATACCATAGGTTTGTTTTAGCCCTTTAGGTAATACACAAACATATAATGAAGAGAAGTTGAGGCATAAACAGAATATTTTTATTGTCATTCAAATTCAGTTAATGTGTGGGACTTTTTTACTACCTGGAGGCTGTTTGGTGGCCTACACTAGGATTTCCCACACTGTCAAAGCTGATAATCCTTTGGCAGACTAAGAAAAGTTCTGTGACTATGCCCTGCCTGTCTGCAATATCTCTACTCCCAGCTCTAAGGAGGTCCAGTTCTGTAACTGTAACCACGAAAGTTACAAGTAATTATGTAATTGTGATTTGTAAAGGACAGCAAAAATGTTTTAAATGCATTTGACGTTCAGCATGATGGATGAGACTTTTTCTGTTGAAAGTTGTTCTATGCAAAGCCTAATTTGGTAAAATGCACAGCTTTAATTAATTTTCACTTGAAATAATGGCTATACATTGTTTTTTATGTCAGTCATGGAAGAGAAAATTAACCCAGAATTGAGGATGAAAATAGAACAACAGATTTCATAGTCTGTGCAACTAAAGCTGAATCCTCCTCTTTTTATACCAATATTTGCATATTTTTTCACCAGATAAAGTCAGCTTTAAGGGGTTGTCAGAAAAAAGTATGTCATTTTGTTTTGCCTAGTCAGTGCTATTGAATCAGGCACACCATAGATACAAGGGCTGGTAATCCACTTCTTTCCTCCTTGTGATTCTTCAGGAAATAAACCTGCAGTTAGATCTGTTTTTATTTTAGATATTGATTTATGAGTTCCAATCATGACCAAGTTACTATGATAAAACTAAGTGACACAAACCAAATCTGAGTTTCTTTGCAAGCAGAAAGATGTATCTCCAAGTATTCTGATGAATGATCCTACTTATTAGTCAAAGACATGGCCACTCCTGTTCATCTTTCAGAGAGAAGAGTTCAGCTTCTGTAGGGAGGCCCAAGCAAATTCCACTCAAAATCTTCCCAGGCAAATCTTCCAGACCAGGAAGTTTGCTGGTAAAGTCTCTTGTGTAGGTACAGAGGGATAAGCCTGGGGCAGGCCCATTGACATATTTCTGGCTTGGAGTGTGCTTACAGTCTTGGGTGCTGGGTTGTGAACAGTGTGCATAGGTCCCCACCTTGGTGCTAGGCACCCCATGTTGCAGAAGCATAGATGAGCACTTCCTGGCTCAAGGATATTTACATGAGCCAAAATAAACATGCCATTCATGATAAAGTTTTGAAGGCATCAGCAAGGGAAGAACGCTGATCATTCTGCCTCTATAGATTCTACTTAGTACTTTACAAGAGCTCTTACTTGGGGGTAAAAAAGGACCACTAATGAAAGATTATCTCAAAGCAGAGGAAACAAGAAAATGTAATGGAAAGCTTACAGTGAAAGTTACTACTTCAACAGCTTCGTGGAGGACCTAGTACAGATTTCCAGGTACTTTCAATATAGCAAGAACTGGGTGTTATATGAAATATTTGTGTTATAAGGTACTTGGTGGGGTGCTTTTGAAAGTAGAATTCTAGGATTGCTGTCCTTATTTGTCATTGCTGTGGCATTATCTTTGTAGCTCCCTCACTGAATACAGAAAATGTCTTTGGCTTCCAGTAATGTGTGAAGAGCAGCATCTTCTTCTGTGTCCTGTCCCACTAGTTCAAAAAGAGTAAGTGGCCTCTAATAGACTCTTCAGAAACATCTCTCACAAATGCTAAAACCTGTGCAGAAACAAAGACCCTTGTTAATTCATCAAGTAGAATGATTAAATATTTGCTTTTTCTGGACTTTGGAATGTAATTGTATTTTCAGCTAAGTCATTGATACACTATGAAACATGATTTGACAACGCTACTGTTTCCAATTTGGCAGCTGTTGCAAATCTCATACTTGTACTATTGCAGATACCATTTTCTGCACCTTACATTATGGACTAGGTTATACAGATACCAAATAAGATTCTTACAAAGTAGTCATGTGAAAATTGCCAATTTTGAGTAATTGGTCTTGTTCATTTTTCAAGGTTTTAATGCTGTTTTCTGGGGGGGAAAAATCCTCAGTTTTATTTTTTCAATACTGGAATTCTTTTGTTTTAACATCAAAGTACATAATTGCCTGGTTAGTGCATGAAGCCACTACAGGCCAGTGTTAAGGCTTCTTGTATGCATTTTATTTTTTAATTTGAATATGTTTCATGGATTTTTCTAATATTTTGATTTTACTTTATGATACATCCCTTGATACATCTCCAGAGCACACAAGCTGAGTTCCTTTCTGGAAGCCAATAGAAAGTGTTAGGCCCTGGGATGCATTTCAATGTCCATATTTAACTCAGGAAGGAGGAAAACCCATCTGCCTAGTAGTTTACTGGGTGAGGGATTTGCCCATGAAATGGGGAACATGGGGTATAGTGCTCGGCTGTAGAGGGGCTGAAACCACATTTTCCATTTTGCAGGAGAGTGTCCTAATGGTGAGGCATTGTAGGAAGGAGTGAGGACATTTTCCACCCGTCCTGTTCTATCCATCCTGGATGGAAACAAGTGCAAGGTGGAACTTAACTCCTTAGTTCATTGAGGAGGGCACTTTCCTGGGAGGTAGGAACGTCTGGTTCTGGCCCCTGCTCACACTTCTCTTAATACATTTTATCCATTAACTATTAATACAATCTGCGTGTTAAAGGGCTCGACTATGCCTAGGGATTTTTTGAGGGGCCAAAATACCATTTTCTCTAATAATCTGTACATCTGAATGCAAAAGGCCTCAAGCCTTTGGTAGGAAGCATTTCTGAGTTAGGACATTTACCTTGGGGAAAAATAATTACACGATGTAACGGCTGTTTATAGTATGTATACTAGACCCCATCTCCAAACTATTTCCTTTCTCCTATTGCACTGCAAACACCTCCACAAACTTGGGTCTGTTTCTGCCTATGTCATCATTGTAAATTCCATTTGCCAAGCCACTGTTATTTTTTGTGGTGGGGGTGGAGAGGTTAGTAAAAACAGTCAGCGCCCAATAAATGCACACATTTTCAGACCAGTGTAAATCCTAATTAACTGACTTTTTTATTTTGAACTTTTTCAGTCTCTAAAGGAGACTCCTCTTGGTCTTTGTATGGCAGCTGTAAGACAACATCATAGAGTGGTTCCTATAGATTTACAAAAGTTTCAGTCTCAGAAAAGGACTTTAGAGAAAGAGAAATTTGTGTTATCAATGTGGCCGGAACTGTTTGTTAAAAAGTGTCTGTTTCTCTACACTTCCTTTGAATGTTCAAATTATGATCAATCTAGTGGTAGGGGAGAGAGAATGCACTGAGTCTTTCATTTCTCTCCCCAGTGCAACACGGTTGTAAATCTGAAAGGTTGTCTTTTAGTAAGGTGATCAGCCTCAGATGGTTGGTATCTGGGTGGGTGTTGGCTTCTTTGGGCACTGGAACTCAGGCTTCATGATTCAGACAGAAAGAGGCATAACTGCAAACCCTTGATATTTAGCAGGCACCAAAAGATATCCTGGCTGGTTCCTTGATTATAATGTATTTGTTACATGTCTGAGGATTTGGTTTGCTAAATATTCAATATGGTTTACTGGTTTACCAAATAAACTGTTTTTTTGCTTTAGTTAAGAATGTCTCTGTCTTTAGGGTTTGGTGCTTTCTGCAGCTTTTTTTTTCCAGAGGCCTAAGTTGCATTTAATATTTTAAAACATTCTTTACAAGGCCATCTTTGTACCCAGGATGCACAGATATATATCCTATTGAAGTTAGTAGGAATTATTTATGCATATATATGAAGGCAGGATTTGACTCAGAGTCATTAAAGACCTAAATTAACCTTTTATAATAGATGAAGTGGCATCTTTAGTTTCTGCTAAAGTTCCATGTAGGTAATTACAAAAGTCCCATGTGTAGCTGAAAACTATTGAAGTGACAGCAATATAAATGCGTAGATTAAGGTAGTGTAAGAACAATATTGAAGCCATAATGATCCAGAAATTATGTGAGAGGCAAGGATTTCTTACGGTGATATCAGAACAGTCAAACCTGATACAGATTGTCTTGAATTCAAAAGCTTGTCTAATAGGCCTATGCGAAGCAGCTAGTATTCTCTTTGGATTCGGATTTGGCTGATTCGGGGGACAGT